AGACTATTTACCTTATATACAACAATTATCTGATGTGAAATCTAATAGCAGTGTATCACAAAGTTCAATAAAATTTATTTCGAAGTTTGAGCTTGGTCAATGGAATAAATGCAACTATCTAAGTTCACATCTAATGGTGAATATTAATTGTGATCACCTTATGCCAAAGAGAAATACTCTCATGGTATAACTTTCCAATTATTTTGTATCTTTTTTAGAGCACAAATTGAAGATAGGGTCATTCTAGGTCCATATTTGACAAACTGCATTCCTTTATATTTTTTGCTATTTTTTTTATGAGTTTTTTGAATGCTTGCTTTCATTGGAAATTTAGCAATTTATGATATGTCTACAAAGTCTCAAAAAATAGACTTTGAGCATGGCTAACAACATAAAACATTACGACTGGTGCTCTGAAACCTTACATCTTGGGATTTCAAAAAATATTGGATGCAACCTTAAACTTTAGAAATAAGGTGTACCTTAAAAATCCATCTGAAAAAGTTCTTTTCACATAGGTTTTTAAAAATTATGTAAAATAAAATAGAAAATTAATCAAATTTATCTATGCATAAAAAAAAACAACAAAATGTTTAAGCAAATTCAAATCCCACACTGAATTCCTAGCTCTCCTGCTCAAAAGACACTAAGGGTTTAAGGAAAACAAAAAAAATATTTTATATTGGGCTACTCTTCTTACAATTATACCAATTATTTGAAGATATATGATTCTCTAACTTACTCTGCTTCTAATTCTACCTATTATTTGGAGATATACAATTGTTTTATTTTTTAAAAAAATATATATATATTGTTTTTTTTCGTACACTTTTTTTTAGGGGAACTCAATGGTAAAATTTTTGTTGAAATTTATTGTTAAATCAAGATTTTTAATTTACTCCCATTATTAATATTCTTATCTTTAAAACAAAATTCAATAATATTAAGTTAATGAAGAAATAAAGTTATAAAGAATATATATTTTTTTAAAAAAAGATAAAATACAGATTTATATCAGTTCCGTTAAAAAAAAATGAATTTTTAATATCTTTTAAAAAACTCGAAGCACTTAACATATTTCAAAAAATCCAAGATTTTTTTAAAAAATCATGTTTTAAACGGAGAGGTGCTAAGTATCGTGTGCTAAATGAATTAAAATCATCACGGTAGCGTTTGGACTATGATAGAGTACCACGGATGTGCTAGTACCATGATGCATGCACTTAAGAATCACGATGGAGTTAGAATCATGAAGTTCAACACGCATCACGGTTGTGCTACTACTGTGATGCTCTCTGTGTGAACCACCATGGTTGCTTAAGTAGTTCACTTAGAACCGTGAAGATCCCTTAAGAATGCTTTTTAAGTTGTCCATCTTTACTTAAGAATCACGGTTCATTTAGAATTTGCAAAGGGTATTTTGGCCACAAGATCCCAAACAATAAAGGAAAGGGATACGAGTGAGGTTTTCAAATATTTGTGATTTTTTTCTAATAACCCAAAAGCAAGGGATATTTTAGATAATTTCTCAAAATCCTTTAAATCAATCATGTCAGCCTTGACTATTATGATTGTGAAATAAAATAAAATAGGATTTCAAGCCTTAAAAATAATATGTATTACACCATACTATTTAGATCGTTTATTTTGTTCCAAAAATAAGTTTTCATGGATTCGCAAGATCTATGCCTTTTTTTTAGCTTCAAATTTTATAGGTAGTATTAATAATTGATTGTAGAACTAGCATGAAACTTTTAGACGCTCAAAGTGCTTTCTGGATGAGGATTTGAGGTGAGGCTTTACTTTGTTTTTGTAAAGCCTAGGCCTTATATCCTATAGAGATGACGTGCGCCTAAAAAACTAGTTGAAAAGGTTATTGTGATACTATATAAAAGATAAAATCTCCCAAATTGATTATCTATACTCCGAGATGTATGGATGTGAAAAAAAAAAAAAAAAAAAATTCAAATGTTGGAAATAGTGCATCTAGTAATGATGTATTATCTGGACTGTCCATTTTCAATTTTTCATATATTTACTTAATTTATAATATTTTTTGAACTTCAAATTTCATACTTAGATATGAAATAGATTTGTAGACCATTTCAGACACTTGGGCCGCTTTAAGACATTAATTCAGGATGCACCATACTTTTATTGTCTAAGGTACTAACCTTATAAACCCCACCCATAAAAGTAAAGCCCCACCTCAAAACCTCGTATAGAAATCACTTCCAGCATAGAAAACACCTACTAGAGCTCCAATATCTATTTCCACCACCAATCTCAAAGCCATTGTAGTTTTCATGCCCAAATGCAATGTTTTAAAGTGAAGCTTTACTTTTTTCCCACAAGGCCTAAGCCTTATAGAAACTATATTATTTTCCATAAGGCCTAGGCCTTATAAAAACTACATATAAGATGTCAACGATGCTTTGACACAGGTTGCATGTAGATAACAGGGATACTGCAACATTAACAACATCGCATGTTACAACGTAGTACTAAAATAAAAAATATATATAAAGAGATCATTTAGTTTTGGCACAAGGAGGTCATAAACATTCTTATCAGTCAGATTTCAAATCGGATAGACATAAGAATGTCATTGATTAAACTCAAAGTTCAAAAAAAAAATATCTTGAATTTCATGACACATCGCAAGCAATCTAATTTGACATATACTGGCCGGAAGTAATTGTGACCTCCTCGTAAGAAAATTAAAAAGAAAATTAAAAAAAAAACCCAAGACTACATTATCTTTGCAACTTATCCCAACTAAACCTTTTTTCTTAGTTTTTTCCCTACAACAAACTTTCTATGCAAATAACCCCCAACCCAAAAAAAATAAAAAAAGACTAAACTACCCTTAACACTATTGCACACGCTTCTCTCTCCGGTAGTAGCAAAAGGTACTATGGCAATAGCGCTCCCGCAGTTGCAAAGCGCGCTCCGACAATTACAAAGGGCGCTCCGGCAATTGCAAAAGGCGCTCCGGCAGTTGCAAAGGGTGCTCCGGTAGTTGCAAAGGCGCTCTAGCAGTAGAACTTGTGAGACAGCGATCCGACAGTAGAACTTGTGAGACAGCGCTCCGACAGTAGCAAATGGCGCTCCGGCAGTAGTAGCAAAGGGCGCTCCGGCAGTAGTAGCAAAAGGCGCTCCGGCTGATTTTTTTGGATGAGAAAGGTATTTCCGTCTAAAAAAGGGAATTTTTTACTTTGGGGGGTTTTTGCATAGACAGACTATTGTGGGAAAAAAGTGAAAGAAAAAGCTTGGATTGGATAAGTTCCGGATATTGTATTTTTTGGGGATTTTTTTTAATTTTCTTAAAAATAAATGTTCTCGTAATATACAATCCCACCGAATATACATTTCAAAAAAAAAAAATATACAATCCCACCAAAATAGAAGAAGTCGAATGCAGATAAAAAGACGAGAGGATAGGAAGTTATGCCATGAACAACATGGCATGCCACAACATCGTACCAAAATAGGAGCTGAATACAAATTAAACGAGTAGAGGAGAAGAAACAAATATCCCTCCAAGGAAAGCTTGGAAAGGAATAGATGGCAACAATGAAAGCGAAACATGGATGACACAATTGGCAGCAAATGCATGAACTGCAGATCATATAATGTCTCTTAGATCAAAGTAAGGAGATGCATAATGATAGCACTGGTGTTATTATGATCGTACTGGTCGCCAGACTAGAGAGGGGTTTGATGTAATTAAAATTGGTCCAACTAGTGGTTCAACCGGCAATATAAGAACTTCAAAAAAAAAAAATTTAATATTTTAAAAAATATAAATTACATTGAAAAATGTACTGAATTTCTTTTAGTTAGTTGAACTTTTTAGTTAGTTGAACCGGTTAATATTAGCTAATCCAACCAGTCACATCATTGGTTTTGATTGATTTTCGACCAAATCTAATTCTTACTCAAACCAAACCAAAATAAAATATTGATCAACGGTCAGACGGGTGTCGGACAACCATTTCAGTCAAGCCTTTAACTATGATTAGTACTATTGTTATCATATTTGCTTCAATTCAACCCAAATCTTTTAAGTTCTATATCCAAACCAAAGCCAAAATAATATGAACATACTTTCATTGGGTTGATTCGGGTGTCTTTGGTATCTCATGCTTCCTTCAGCCGAACACACGGCGTCACTAAGGAAAGCCATTTAAAAAAGGAAAGGTGCTAACTTTGCATTGTATACACCCAAAAAAGCCCGCTAGAGAAGGTTATTCCTACGTCGGAAAACCCTCAAATCAATCATCTCAACCTTTAGATTCATAGACACAAAAAAAAAAAACAGGATTTCTAATCTTAAAAATAGTTCATCTTTTAACACGTAATCTTGACCGTCAATTTTCAAGATTTTCATGTGTTTATAGATTTGCTTGATCATCATCATTTCTTAAACTCCAAATTTCATAATAGGGGAAAATAATAGATTTGCATATCATTGCAAGGCTTTGAGGCACCGAACCAACATTTTCAATATAGATTTGAGGAACACCTAACTTCAATGGTATAAGGTTGACACCTCATACATACCTCACCCTTCAAAAAATCATATCACCAAAAAACAAAAAGGGCTTTGAGCTCCAAAATATGATCCAAGTCCAAAAATGCTCCAAAGTTCCTCTCCCCCCAATTTAGATATGAGCCGTCCATTTTTAGTGGAGCTTTATTGGAACTCCAAATGAAATGTAATTGGAGGATCATGACTTTTAAATAATCTGAACCTTCTTTGTCTCTCACGCACATCGAAAGTGGTTTTTGAGGTGGGGGCGTGTCAAGTCTTTTAATACTCCCAGGAAAGTAAGAAAAGTTATCATATAGATACCGGACATTTAACATGTAGGATTCCACCAGGCAACTTTGGTTTCACACCAGAGGTCTTGGGGTTCGATTCCCATACCGATTTGAGGGAAAAAAAATAAAAAGATTAATTGAGTTTGAAAGTACCATCATGTAGATCAGCGCTATTGTAGGTCTAAACTAGGCCGTTGTTTTCAAATGATACAAATGACAATATTTTATTGAAGACATCAATACATTGATGGAAATCCGGTTTTCAGTGGACGAGGAATTCCATAATTATTAATTGCTGTGATCCAAAAACTTAAGCTCAGAAGTATCTTACATATTTTTGACAGAGTGCTGCTGCTTGAGCCTTGAGAATTCTTCGTGAGCTTGTGATATCAAATCGTGGTCTTCCCATTCCTCACGGTAAGTATCTGGATTTTCAGTTTTGTTTCTTGTGTTGGCAAAGTACATTTCCTTCCTCCACTCTTCGCCTTTGGGGTATCCACATTCGGTAGCGAGCCAATCAAAGTACTCAAACTGAATACAAATTGCCATTTGCTTAGAAGTAGGTAAAGGTCGTCGAAATACAAAGCGTAACACAGGAAACTGCATGTACACAGGTGGGTGCATGCAAAGAGTATTTTTTTCTTTTTTTCCTTCAAGATGGTCAAGTATCAAATATGCCAACAACAATGAAAGAGATCAAAAATACCACTACAGGCCATCAAGACAACAGTAAAATTTGTAGTAATCATTGAAAAGCAGGGAGTTTTGGCATCTCAAATTAAAACCTACAATTATTGTTCATACTAAAATAGATCCAAATGGTACCTGACAACCAGATATGTTATGGGTGTAATGCTTGGGGTACCCCATGGCTGCAATCCTAGAGTAAAAGGCTTCCACATCTTTCATCATCTCTTCTTCTGATGGAAGTGCAATCCTTTCAGACAAAGCACCTGCCACCCACTTGCACTGCAATTCCATCATTGGGAAAGGAATAGTCTGCCACCACCAGAAAACAGAACAGTTAACCGGATCAACGACAGAGAGAAAGTGGGAGAAGAAAAACAACCTTAGTTATCTAAAAAGGAATTTATTCTCTCAACCTTCCATGGTAGCCCTACAAATGAAAGCCAAGGACCTAGAGAAGGTGGAAAGACATGTTTATACAATGGTCCCACACGATTATCATCAACTGTCACAGCACCATTTGTTTCAAGAAATGGGAAATGATACTTGTACCTGCAAAATTAATATGAAATCATGGGTGACATTCATCGAAAGTGTATAGGAATGTTGAGCATGCAACTTCTGATATGTGTGTGCAAATGTGTGTAGTTTGCAAGCCTGCTGTGCTATTAACCACATTCATACCATACATTTAATAATGTCTCTTTAAGAGAGAGGCAGTTGTATAGGATACTTCTACCAAGAAATTTGGGCGTAACGAGTAAGGAGGAGATCAAGGGCAGGAAACAAATAATTCAATGTATACATTTAAGAATTCAAGAAAGCATGACAAAGGTATTAAAAACTAAGATCTGTCTTTTGTAACCTTGGTCACAGTCTCACAGATACTACTGAACACATAAATGATTATATGTTAGGATTGAATAAGAGGAAAATAAAATGGCCAGTTGAAAAATCAATTCATTAAAAATCTCTCTCTCTCTCT